CAGGGCCCATCTCACCTGACGATGGGAAGCTTGGTGAAGGGTACCGGCGGCAGGGTGAGGCCGCCAGGGAGGGCGATGGGTTCCATGGTCCCAGGACACTTGGACGTATAGTTCTCTAGGCTTTGGGTCACATCTTTCTTTTCTGAAGAGAAGATGAAAACAAAATAAAGATTTATTAGGCAAAAGTCAAAGTGGCTGGCTTTCATTTTACTTGGGGCATTTCATGACAGTCCAATGAGTCCAATCTGCTGACAGAAATTAAGGGGCAGTGAGCAAAAGAGGCCAGAACAAAACAGAAGCTATATTCCACTTATTTGAAAATCACCAGCAACTGCTCCTCGTAAGGGCCTGTGGATAAAAGGGAAATTAAGTTAGTATCCTCCAGGAGACTTCCATTTTCCAAGAAAATAAACCCTTATCAAATTTCAAGAAAGTCTGTAGGCAGGACTAGAGAATCAGTACATTTTATAACTTAACAATACTTTTTCGGCAATTACTAGGTAATTACCAAGCAAAACGCCAGGACCTGTCTGTCCCTCAGGAGTCTGTAATTTATCTGTATGACAGATACTTAGGCAAATAAGTGCAAATCAACATTTTTGAAGCAAATGTAGAGCTTTGTGAGAAAAGACTGTTGTTCCCCACCCCGCCCCCGTCCCTTTCACAAGGAGGGAGGAAAAGAGGACACAGGCGATAATCATGTCCGCTTACTGCCCACGGCACACTCTAGACAGGCCACAGACACAGACCCCTTCTCACCACAGCACGACAGAGCTCAGGAGCACCGCTGTGCTCTATGACTCAGGCTGGCTCAGGAAGGCAGGCACTCGGGTCCCCACTTTGCAAATGAAAAACCCGAGACCAAGTGAAGTTAAGCAGCTTGTCAAAGACCATGTACTTGGCCTTAGGCCTGTGGTTTTCTCACTAGAGTGTTTTAAAGAATTAAGGAAAGGATGGGATTACGGGACGGGTGTGAACAAGGGAGTCTCTCCTTGCAGCATCTACCTTCTCTGTGAAATACCAAAGTCACTGCTGATGAGGAAGACAGAGGACTTGGAGAGAAGAGCAGCAGAGGGACAAGATCACCAGGGATGAGACCTAGAACAGCAAAGTTAGATCCCACTCCAGGAGACGCCTTGGTCTTTCCCCGTCTAGTGTGCTACCACCTTAGGGGAAGTCCTTCAACCGTTCTGCATCTTGTTTGCCTACAGTAAGAGGAGTGCCTGTATCAGGAATTACTAAGGATAAATGAGATAATGCATTAAAAAAAAAAACAATGACTGGCAGATACGGTGCACTGAATAAACGGAAATGATAATAACCATTATCGTCATTATCATATAGATGCACTGGAATGGACAAAGAGCAGGTAAATAGCTGCAAAGTGAAGCCAAGCGCTCCACTGAAGCTGGTGACCATAAATAATAAATATCAAGGCAAGGACTTCATAGAGCTCAGGCACATGTATTAATTGGTAAACTGCTACCATAGGAATTGTCTGTGCCTAAGCAAAGCATTCTTCTTTTTTTTTTTTTTTTTGAAACGGGTTCTCACTAGTCTCCCAGGCTGGAGTGCAGAGGTACAATCTTAGCTCACTGCAACCTCCGCCTCCCAGGTTCAAGCAATCCTCCCACCACAGCCTCCTAAGTAGCTGAGACTATAGGCATGTGTCACCATGCTTGGCTGATTTTTTAATTTTTGGTAGAGATGAGGTCTCACTACATTGCCCAGGCTAGTCTTGAACTCCTGGGCTCAAGTGATCCCCCTGCCTTGGCCTTCCAAAGTGCGGGGATTACAGGCATGAGCCATCACACCCAGCCTGCACCATTCTTAGGAAGCCAGAGAGCAGAGCAGAAAAGTGACCAAAATGACTTTTGAATACAATACAACAAGGTTAATCTGAAACATGAAAAAAGTCTTTAAATAACTTAACCATTCTCAATCTATAAAAATCTCCCAAAGGGCTCCAGCTGATACCATGTATATTATCTAATTTGCCTAATGTTAGGCAGAGCACTTACAGGTGAGGTATCCTATTCAGTTGAAATCTACCACCCCATACGCACTCTCGGTAAATGCTGCTGAAATGAAGAAGGAAAGGGATCTATTTGCAGTGCCTCATGCCACTTGCACTGTTATCCAAGAAAGGAAAGGCACCACAGTGTATCATCCGGCTAAGCTCTGAACGGCATTTCTAGACAGAAAATAACGTACACACTGAGTAGCACAGGGAAGCTGCTTCACTGCAGCGTGGTCTGGCTGTGCCATTTCGTTAGAGAACCCCTGTGTTTGTGCTTTAGGTCTGGTCACTATCCTGTGGAGGAATTTCCTATGTAGGGGTACAGCCTGGCTATGAGCACTCTCAGAGCTTTGTGGAAGGCTAGGTTGGGGGTACCTCAATATTCACTTATTCCCCTTGAGCGTAGCAGGGCACACCTCTCCGGCTGTGCCTGGTGACTCCCTGAAGGGAGTCAAATGCTCATCTTCTGCTGGGACGGAAAAGGGACCGTCACCTGCTGCAGGGGCAGAGGTGATCTGTGGATATGTAACCGATCATCAGTGATTTTCAGCAGTGCCTACTGCCGCGTGGTGCTCCTGCTAGGCACGGGGAATGGGGGTTGCTTCTTGGCTTTCCCCTACTACCACACGACCCCATCGCCACTTCAGTAGGGTTTCCAGAGTCAAACGCTTATGCCCAATTGTCAGCACGGCCCATCCAGTGCAAACGCCCCATCCACCTTCTCCTAAAGGATTCAAGTGTCGGCTATAAATTGTTGCCAGATCTATTATTTCATCAGGAATTACAAACTGGTGATTTTCTAATTCTCTAATTCCTCTGCACTTATAAGCTAGAACTTGTCTATAAGGAAGGATTTTTTTCCTCATCAATCATTTGGTTATCCTGGAACACAGACAACACAGACATTAATAAATAGTTGAGTCTTTCCCTTTATTTACTGAGTGGAGAACTCTTGCCCTATCAAACTCCAGTAATGACCAGTG